CCGGTGTGTCACGAATCTTAACACCGGTACACCGGTGTGTCACGAATCTTAACACCGCTACACCGGTGTGTCACGAATCTTAATTACGGTACACCGGTGTGTCACGAATCTTAATTACGGTACACCGGTGTGTCACGAATCTTAACACCGGTACACCGGTGTGTCACGAATCTTAACACCGCTACACCGGTGTGTCACGAATCTTAATACCGGTACACCGGTGTGTCACGAATCTTAATACCGGTACACCGGTGTGTCACGAATCTTAATTACGGTACACCGGTGTGTCACGAATCTTAACACCGGTACACCGGTGTGTCACGAATCTTAACACCGGCACACCGGTGTGTCACGAATCTTAATTACGGTACACCGGTGTGTCACGAATCTTAATACCGGTACACCGGTGTGTCACGAATCTTAATTACGGTACACCGGTGTCTCACGAATCTTAACACCGGTACACCGGTGTGTCACGAATCTGCATTCAATGGTTGCTAATGAAACCTCAACGAGGCAAAAAAAGGTTTTGACAGCAAGGAAAGGCACACATTAAGGGAAAGCCGTAAAAAAATATATGCATGCACGACGAGCAATTACGCACCGGCCATTTCATGGATGGTGCGTGTCCCAATATTCTGGAGCCATAAGCAATGCTGTAGGAAAAAAAACACGGAAATATTCTCACGATGCCACTAAATCACCCCTTGTAACCTTGGCAAGCAACGCCAATGACATCTGCGCGTAATAATATTCCGCGTGCGATGATTCACCTTGCAACAGATAAAAAAAAACACAACGCCATGTTAATAATAAAAAAAGACACGCTAGCTAGCAAGCAAGTCGGGCAATTAAGCTCGTGAGATCTTTGGAAACGTCCTTATATTCCAAAGACATTGCGATGTAAGGCTACCCCGTGCATGTAATTACATTGCGAGACATTCACAAGAGTATCGTTAGAGACGGAGTTTCACGAGGGAGCGTGCTCACAGAAACGTGCAAACACACATGCATACAAAGACCCCTCAACCACCACAAAGCCTTTGATGGACTGTTGGGACAAATGCCGTTAGCGAGCACCTATTAAGGCCGGCACGGCACACGAGGGCGAGGGTGGGTGGCCAACACCACATCCCGCTGCCTTCGTCTCACCACTGCTGACGGATACACACCGCACCGGTTACTCAATCAAGGCTGAGTCGACCTAGTGGAGCCTCTAGGAACGGTTCAGATATTCGTCACCGATTGTTGGCCGTGAGCGGCAAGCGAACTCGGGGCTCCGGGTCAGCCGTGCGGCGCGCTCACCGCTACACTGCCACTCCCTTACGCGTGCACAAATAGACCTACACACACACACACACACGTGATGGAGCATGCCCGTCATCTGGCGCTTTGTAGGAAAGGTTTTGACAGATCACGAAGAGATTTGGGAAACTCTTGAATGCGCAGTGCTACAAGGTGACCAGGAGGTAGCGGTACAGCAGGACATTGGCCAGACTTTCTCATGAATGGAACCAACTAAACTTTTACACCCGGCAAGCCAAGTTCGATTCCCACTCACGGCCAACACCGGTGGCGATTATCTGACCCGGTCCTGGACCTCCCCTAGATCGACTCAGTCACAACCGAGCAACCGGTGCAATGTGTAAAACATTGCCACTGGAGAGACAAAGGCGGCGGGGCATGGCGCTGGCCAACCGTCCCTTTCTTTGTGCCGTGCCGGTCTTTCGTAGGTTCTTGCTAACAGCACTTGCCCCGTGGGTATGTTGAGGCTATACGGGGGATCTTTGTCTTTGGTCACGTGTATTCACCTTTGTATCAAATCTATTTCTTTGCCGAGAGCCAGCTGTGTGCACACTGAGAATGATGTATTTTTTGTTGTTTTTTTCTCTCTTTTTTGCGTGGCTGCTGTGCAAGCTCAAGCGGTTGCGTGTGATTGGATCGCGTGTGTTGTCCATATGAGCAAGGGGTGCGCGCGTGTGTGTGTGTGTGTGCCTATCGATGCGTGTGGCACAGTGGGGGGCTCAGGTGGTGTATCTGCCAGTCATCTCAGTCAGTTAACACGCAACACAACACGGTCTGTCCCGTGATCTCCGGCTGCAGCGACGCCGTGACACTTCACGCCTTCTCAAAGTGACTACAAGAACTGTAGTCACTTCAGCGTCGTTTCTTGACAGGTGGCGGCTTGCTGTTCTTGTTGTACAAACGATGAGCACAGGTGGTTTGCGTTCTGCACTACAAACCTAAGTTCAATCACTGGCCATGGCTAACATCAGTGGCAGGTGGATCTCTGAACCAGCTCTGGTCCTTTTCTAGGTCAAGTCAGCCTGCAATGAGTGACCCGATAGAGTGTGCAGGTTTCCCTCGCTTTAGCCCGGTTCGCTCTGCGCAATCTCCATGCTGCTATGCGGTCGGACGTGGGACAACATTGTGTCCGTGCACCGTGCACCGTGCACCGTGCACCGTGCTACTCGGCAGGCAGCTGCCTCGTGCAGTTTCTCTGTGTGCGCGCTTCTTCGGGGGACGCATCTGCACCTGCGGCTACTACCCCCCACGTAGAGCGAGGGAAACCTGTGCATACATCCGCACTTGAGAGACAAAAAGAGACCCAGTGTGGTGCTGACCACACCACCCATTCGTGTGTGTGCCACGGTTGCCTTAAGAACTGCTCACTAAACAGCACTTGCCCTGGCAGTCCTTTGAGGCTATAAGGGGGGGGGGGAATTTGTCTTTGTAGAGATCGTGTGTGCGCGTGTGTGTGTCCGTGTGCACATGTTCTTGTGTGTACGTAAGGTGCACGTGCTCATTTGTGCACGTGGAACAATTAGCGTCTTGGTGTCGAGATCTCTAAGTGACGGGCACTGTCCTGCAAGCCTGGCGACATATGTACGATACCTGGCAACAGGTTCGGTCATCAAATATATCCACAGGTGTACTACAGAGCACGGCTCTGGAAATCGGTACCCGCTTTGACCCGGCCATCAACTGAGGGCCTGGTGACATACACCGGTAACAAACATCAGGGGATGCACGATCCTGGCCAAGCACGCAGCACGCAGGCATTAATAGGCGCTCGCTAACGGCACACGACCTTACAACCCAACGGTTTTGGGGGGGCGAGAGGGGGTCTCCGTCTTTGTGTGCAATTGTGTTCACAGTTGCATTTGCGCGCGCTCGTGCGCCGTCTTGTGCTGTAGCCCCCCCCCCCCGCTCCACCAACCAACTCTGTTCATTCATTGCCCAGAAAGGGTAAACAAAAACAACTCGAGCCAAACAAACCCCGCTTCCTAGCACACGGCTCTGAATTAACCCCCCCCCCCCTCTCTCTCCTCGTGGGAAAAAAAAAACTGACATTGTGCTTTTTTCTGCTTTCTGGGCCCTTGGATTCTGTGGTGCATTTTAATATTTAAGTCTCGGCAGCAGCCGTCCCCTGCCTCTATTCAAAAGCTCCTAAGCCTCTCTGCGCTTCAGTACCCTTTTTGGGGGGGGGGGGGGGCGAAGGTGGGGATTATTTTGCGAGTGCTGGAATAGCTCCGGAAATCACACTCCTCCCCCCTCCCCTCCTAGGCATAATCCCTCCTTTGTCACTCACGTGCACGCCGCACCAAGTCCCCTTGATCAGCCGGCTGGGAATCCTAAACACTTGTCACGACCCCCCCCCCCCCCCCCCCCCCCCCCAAGCTCGAAAGCCATTAACGTCACAGCCCCAGGTAATGAGCGAGAGACCTGTCGGCTGGCTAGAAAAATCGGTAGGAGTGGAGTATATTTATATATATCCCGTATATCAAATACTAGCGCTGCTTCAGCGAGGTTAGGATATTATCAAATGCATAAGTATATTTTAAATGTACGGTAAGTTTTACTTGTCCAGAACTTACGTTAAATCTTTTGGCTGACGTCCGTCGAATAAGGCCATCGCGCATAATCTCACTCAACAGGGACATTTGTGAAGGCCGTTTCATTCACAATATATATTTTGGTTAGGCCTCAATTTTTTTGCCGAACCATAAAAAATCCATTACGGATTATGGGTAGCCTACAGACATGTGGCTACATCTGGTCTTTATAAGGTCTTATTAACGAGATATCAAAAAATATATACACATTCCAGCCACTCTCAATCCACCAACGGATAGAGGCCTCCCCAAAACATGCCAGTCATTTGGGTTGTTGGTTTTTTTTACTGACTATACTTCACCACACTGGTTGGCAGAGGGGAGGCAGGGCAGTAGCGGTCCTGGTTTCACCCGCCACTGATGTTAATCGTAGTCGAGAATCGAACTCGGCTCACAGGGTTCATAGCTCAGCGGTGCAAATCACCGTACCACCCCGCTCCTTCCGCCAACAAGATAGAGCCATACATTACCAAGGAGGGCCCATAACGTTACACGGTTCTTTACAGGGCCTTATCGGTGAGCCATACCCACAAATATAGAATGCTTTTATGCGTATCGTCATCGGCGAAGGCAACACAACTAAGCCACGAAAGCCCTAAAGGCTACAGCTAAAGAATGAATATGAATTGCATAAATTATAAACGCATAATGAAATGCATCAGGAAAGGGGAGTGTGAGCAAACGCATGGGGAGCATGTGATAACGTTCACAGGACCTCTTGACATCCGCCTCGCTGAAACGGCTGAGACGGCAGTGACTCTACGGCTCCCAAATCAGGAGGCATTGTTTGCCCTTGTGTGGAAAAAAAACCTGGCGATCGATGAAGAACCAACATTCTGCCCACTTCTCTTTCGATACCAGCAGGATGAGTCAAAGTGGTGGGAGTTCGGGTGCAGATAACGGAGGAGGACACTGAAGTTTCCACCGTTGGTGTAATGTGATTCTGCTGTCAGGATGGAGTCACTAAACACGTGTCGGCTTAGCCAATCGAAGGGAGCACAGAGTGGGCGTCGTGAGACAGAGCCTCGGAATGATGGGAGACCCTGGGGGGGGGGGGGGGGGGGGGCGCTGTGGCATGGGACTGGCGTGGGAGGAGCCGCTCACCTCGTTGATCAAGGTGTTGTGCTGCGTCGCTTCCTCCTCGTCCGGCCGATGTTTCTGACGCACCTCCTCCTCATCCTCTTCTGGGCTCTGTGGAGGAGGGGAAGATGCGGCAAACGGAGCAAGGTGACTTAACGGAGTCACGGCAAATGAGAGCCCTGATCTCTGCATCATCCTCGTCAATACACGACAATGCGACGAAATGTTATTTGGATTGATGCATTGTCCAAGGGCAGCCGCATCCCAAGGCGCTGTACAGAAACCGTGATCATGTTCATTTTAGAGAGAAAGGGGCAGTCGGTCAGAGGCAGAAGAATAAAGTACGGCCTTGAGCCTCTGACTTGCAAAGGGGCGTGGGAGTTAACAGCACGGGTGCCTTGGGAGGACTGATGCCAGACTATGAGGGCAGCAGAGGTGAACGAGTTACAATCATCAACTATCATGATCAGGCTAGGAATCGAACTTGGGTGGCTGGGTTCATCCTGCAGTTCGCAATGCACTGCACCAACACTTCCTGGTTTTTTTTCTCGTTGTATTTTTAAAAGCCATAGACAGTGGTGGGAATATTTCTTTTGCAATTTTTTTTGCAATTTATTTCTACATGTCGCTGCAAAGTTTTGGTCGTACCGTACATGTTATGTATATCGTTTATTGTTAAATTTGAATCACAGTTCCTATAATCACTGTAACATTGGTTTTATAGCTTTATTTTCGGTGATTTTGAAAAGTTTTGGTTTAGCCATGTTTGTTTGTTGTAGTACAGAGTTAGCCTGGTAACTTTAATCTAAATTGGCTTATGGTTGTTATTGTTTGACTTGCATCCCACTGGGATTTTTGCGCACAGCGTTGAAATACGGTGTTTTTTCTGGAAGACTTTGCTGTTTTTTCCTGGATTTTTCTGTTGCGTGTAGTCACTTTAAGATGTTTTCTTGTTCATGTTTTTGTTTGTTGCGGTTGCACCCGAGTCAAGAGCCGCATGGCTCACAGGGTTATACCTAATAAATGAAACTGAAAAGTGAAACGTGTGCTGCTCTTAGTAATTAAGAGTGTGCTCGTGTCTGGAGTGCATGGGGCATCGCTTCAGTTGAAGCAATCCCCGTTCTCCATGTGTTTATTCTATTCTTAATCGTATTTAATCTGGAACGGTCCTCAAATGAGCTCACATCCCTGTATATGGGCACTGTCCAACCCTTACTAGGGACAAGGTTACTTCCAAATAAGTCCTTTACGCTGACGTGCAACAGATTACAAGTACTCTGGTGCCCTAATCACAAACGCACACAAGGGTCATCCCGTATGATTATTGCAATGTTTCACCGTATGAACACGTGACCATGATTTGACATAAGATACAATACAATTGGGATTTACATTGCGCCTGCATGCGACCGCATCTGAAGACGCTGCACATAATCGGCGGGCAATGATTTCATTCCTACAGAGAGACCGCGGTCAGTCATAGAAAGACAACGAAGAGACAAGGAAGGCCATGAGCTTGAACCTGATGCAGGGGCAGGGGGTCAACAGCACGGATGGCTGGGTGCGTGGAGAGAGTTGCAGACGATGGAGGCAGCAGAGGAGAATGAGCGACCTCCCATGGAGCGAAAAATTGACAAGAGGGTTTCGACAGAGAGCCTTGCTTGCTGGAGCGGAAAGTACGTGAAGGGGAGCAGAGTGACATGAGAAGGGGAGAGGCAGGGCAGAAGTGCGCGTGGAGGGGAGTCGAGCGCGGAGGTGGGAGGGGAGAGGCAGATAGGCAGGCAGGGGCGAGTCCACGGAGGATGTTAAAAACGGCGAGGAGTGCGAACTTTAAATTGTTCAGGGATTGCATTGGGAGCCAGCGAAGCGATCGGAGCATTGGGGAGACGCGGACTCGTTTAGGGGTTCAGACGAGGAGTTTGGCAGCAGCATTTTGCGTCATCTGGAACTGGTTAGTTCTTGTGTCGAGGGCTACGCCAGGACCACGGTTAGACGCCGGGGTCATCTGTCCGTGTGGCATCGCGTGAGTTCAAGCTCAGGTCAGGGGTCAAAGTGGCCCATCATCACCAAATGGGTACCCGCCTTCGTTGCAAGTCAACAGTGCTCATGCCATACAGTGGACTTGCCCGTCGCCATAGGAATACAGTAAAACCTTGGATTGCGAGCATAATTCGTTCCGGAAACGTGTTTGTAATCCAAAGCACTCGTATATCAGTTGTTATCACGTGACGCTCGGCAGACAAAGCGTATACGTGCTACTCGTATTGCAAGACCTTCGCTCGTTTATCAAATTAATTTTTATTTAAAAATTTTGCTCGTCTTGCAAAACACTCACAGACCAAGTTATTCGCAATCCAAGGTTTTACTGTATGGAAGTTCTGCCAATGTTGCAGGTCCACCAACAAGACGTGTGTGCCCACCCTACTCTATTCATTTAGAGAATTTGGCAGCTGTTATACATTTCCACAGGATGATAAGACACTTCGTTGAGTTATCATTTGTAGCCAGGTCGCTTCTGAAAAAAGATCTTTATAACTCAGTGGGCATTACCTCTTAAAATAAAATAAAAAAAATACTTCATAGTTAATTGATGGAGGGGCAAGACTTCACATTCCAAAACACAAGCGTTGGATTTTTAGCGGTATAAAACTTTTCATCTGGCAACATCGGCTGCTAACAGCGCGACCTCAGAGCAGTGACGAGTTTCAGCAAGGGATTGTTAGTCCTCATCCTTTGCTGCCAACGAAGACGGTTTTTTTTTACCTTAAGCGATTTATACAGCATTTAATTTATTTAATTTATTGAATTTCATTTAAACAAGTCCAAGGAGGTAGAGATTAACGTATTAGGAGCGAGAAAAAAAAGTATAAAACGTTGCAGCCGTAATAACTTCCTCCTGCATTCACAGACCCGGCGCGCGCTCACAACCGCTTATTTGCTTACATTTCTCAAATTCCTGAAGTCGTTAATTTTTAAACAGTGAGCAGGTTTCTGGCAGCCCACCGGGAAATAATAACCACAAGCCCAGCAGAGTTTGAACACTGTGACTCAACATCTCAGAGCTGCGACTGGGAGGACATTAATTTCGACGAAATGAAAAACAAACGCTGAGACAGGGTCGGCACATGCATCAATCTTGTTACTCAGTCTGTGCCTCTTTTTTTTGCGAAACTGAAATAAATATATATTTTAATGTTTGTTTAAATTTATACGGACGGCCGAGACGCAAGATGTTTAAACGAAGGCTGGAGAACAGGATGCGGAATGCGTGCCCAGTTATCGGCGTATGGGATGTAACAATGGCACAGTGGCGAACAAACTGCACTACAGACCCAGTGCCCTGACCTTGAATCCCAGCCACGGCTAACATCAGTGGTGAGTGATATCAGAACCAGTCCTCACCATACCACCTCCAGCCCCTCCCCCCTTCACCAACTAGCAGTGAAAAATGTGGTAACAAAAATTCCCAGCATTTGCGGCGGCGTGGGAAGGCCTTGATCAATTAATGGACTGAAAATTACTATGATGTATTATTTATAATTAGCAGATAAGGCGTGCATTCCGTACATTTCAATGCCAAAATAAAGTAACATGTAATCCAACGATCAATGCTACTTTATCTGTAGCGATTAAGGCCAAACCTCAATACCTGTGAGCTTATTAATTACCAACAATCCACCGAGACATGATTAATTATTAGTTACTGGAAAGCAGGGCCCAAGACAAGAGTTTGTCAAACTTAATTTGGCAACGACAGAACGAAACCCCTTGGGACGCCACGGGGCACTGCGGTGTAGCTATAGAAACAGAAGAGGGAGGTGTTCATTAATAACCTCGCACCAAATTAAACCTGCATCAGTCATTCGTTACAATTACAGCGGAGCTGACCGATGGAAACTGCGCTTTGCCGTGCTTACCAAGTCCGCGCGATCAATCATATTCGCAACCTTCGGGGGGGGGGGGGGGGGGGGGGAGACGGAGAGTAGGGAGAAGCCTACAAATGTAAAAAAGCAACCCCCCCCCCCCCGGAGTCAGGGGTTTGCGAGTCGTGCAGAGAGACACCCATCTGCAGGTGCACGAGCTGGCCAATAGGTAGCAGGACAGCAAGTAGGCTGCTTGCCCCATCTGCGCGTGTGTATAACGTAAGCGTGCGCGCTATCCCCTCGTACACGCGGATGTTCTTGTCTGGGCACCACAGTTTTTCTCACGTACAAAAATATCCAACAAAGAATTGACTCGTAATGCTTATTATACCAGTGCCACTATTCACGGGGGCCCTCGGCTTGAACCTTGTCTCCATCCTCTGGTAATTAAACCAGGCCCTCAAGTTTCCCGATTCGTGTTGTATCAGCCAGATCTTCAATACCTCCTTACCAACCCCTCCCACCCCGCGCCGAAAAAATAATTGCAAACATGTTTCGCTTTTGACTAAAATTGGCACAACTTTTCTGAGACGTAAACCTTATTGCATTTTTCGGATAACCCGACGTGAGGTGAAACCATTCTTTGCCGAGCCTGATGGTATGCGGTTCAGCAATGGGCTCCAAAGGTGCCCCCCCCCCCCGAATTCTGCGGTGTCGTCTTCTTATTGGGGGGTGGGGGTGCCCCCCACCCCCGAATCCCTGATACGATGTGAAATTCGACGACCGTCGGCACCTCCCCGAAAAGATATTTGTAAGCCTCAAGATTACACGCGCACAATAACAACACAATTCAGATAGGACCGGTGGCGCCAAATACAATTACATTTCCACACGCGCGCACACGCACGAGCCCGCAAAACTCCCCTCTCCTCTCCCAACTTTCTCTTCTTCCTGTTGCACACTTACAACTGTTTTTTTAAGCTACAGCCCCCCACCCCTCAAGCCGTGGCCTTTTCTCAAATGACAGAAGGTTTGAGACGAGAAAAAAATTCGGTTTCACGCCGAAAACTAAAAAAAAGTGGATTTTCGAGGAGCGCCGAGGATGAACGAGTGGAGCACGGCTCCGGGTCTCGCCTTTTCAGCGACATGCACGCCGCGCCGCGCAATTCCCTTGACCCAGAGGGCCCGAGAATGACGCACGGCTCGTGAGCGGCCTTCACCACGACTTACCTCCAACTGCTCGGAGGG